GTTGTTTCACTGCTTTTTTACGGTGTTAATTAAATCTTTTTACAAAACTGTTTCTTTAGAAACACCGACGCAGCTCACACTGGTTTACTGCTAGTTTCCACCATTTTAATATAAACCAGATTCCTAAGCATTTACAGTAATTTTAAAATGATTCATGGATTCTTTAACTAAATCAGCAGTTTGCTTGTTGAAGACATCACGTTCAAACGACTCTCGATTAACAATGTCAACAATCTGGACATGCGCAAGTTGTTCATTCATTGTTCTGACAAACCCGAAGAACTTCTCTTCATACAAACACTTCATATCGATGACCTCAAGCAAATCCTCTTGCGGTTGACATGTGACTAGAAGGTCATGTGCCTTCATCAGTGACGTTAAAATGTCCTGGTCAAATCCAATGTATCCTTTGCACACAATAAATCGGTTTGGACAACACAGGGAACCCACCACAGGCTTGATAACCGCGATGCATTTAAATAAGCAGTGTAGAATGTACAGAACACTCACGGTAAAGCGAGTTAGGGAGGTGTAAAGCTGACATACAAATGTCCCCCCCGGATTTAAGACCTTGAGTGTACTAATGCATGTATTTAGAAGAGTCCTCTTTATCTTCAGTTCAAGGGTTTGGCTAATACAGTATTCAGGGGGGACACTATCTAATAATGGTACAATTACTAGATCTACTGCTTGACTTTGAAGGTGAGAGCTTTGAAGCTGGACCCCCTGCGATTGAAGATAATTGTCAATACAATGGCATGGTAACGGTATCCCTAGCAACAATGATGTGTCTCCTTTTCTTTGAGTAAACTTGACAAGATGATCCAAGATGATAATAGAGTAATAGTTACAATAGGGACAAGCATCTGCTGGTGTTTGCTGGGACATTTCCTTCCATTCCTTACCAGCTGTGATTGATGTATTTTCGATTGCTGTGTTCAGCTTGGTGATGTAATATGATGAGCAGAAACGAGAATTTAAGATATTGCTGATCATTTTACCCTTTGCAAAGTAAAAATTAATTTTGTTTTCGCTGTTTACTTCTAACCACTCAACGTCTTCTGGAAACAATGAGATAAACTGCATTCCATTTTTTGCCAAACGCATTTCTGAAATAAAAAACAATACAAAATATATCACTGTGCATGATCTTTTCATTCAAAAACAAAAAAAGCATGAGATTTAACGGTTGCTTTGATACAAGGCTTCAATTTTTGAATTGAATTTTTTTCCAACTGATAACAGGATGAGGGTCAGCTTTAGCGGTACAGTTCAACGCTACGGTTGCTCCTAGACGTGTTCTATACGACGTCGGAGGCTTGACAACAAACACGGGCAGATCGACTACAATAACCACAACAGATCCTACAACAGAACCAAGAAGATTTTCAGCTTTGCAAACATATGTCCCCGAATCATCTCTCTTCGCTTTTAGTATAGTCAGTTGTGAAAAAAATGTATTTCCTACGGGATGACTCCAAAACCAACGTTTTCCCAGAAATTGTTTTGATAGGTAATAAATTGCTATATCGACAGGATTACCCTCCTTGCTAAGTACTATACAACTTTTATCATTTCTAGTACATGTATTTCCTGTGCCACCCGATCCACGTATTCATATAAATGACTCATGTGTTTGTTTTGAATTCTAAACTTAAGGCGTTTGTAAAATGCAAGTATGGCTTTAAACCCGACTCGTACATCCTTTCATAAATATTTCTTCAATTGCGTGACATGTAAATCTGAAAAGCTATTTGACGATGATTTCATCTCGAAAGTGAAAGTATGATGTGACTGATCAGTCAAGCAAGAAGGGAAACAAGAATCGACGAATACAAGATGAATTCCTGTTTGGTTTTTGGTTTTCTATCATTGAGTGTAAGTGTTTCTGTGTCTTTTTCATGCGATCCTGTTCCATTGATCAAAATGAATGAGGGATATATGTCTTGCATATACTTGGACATCAAGACAATAGGATATGGCTACAACATGCAGAATAAAGACGCTCCTGAGGTTTTCAAGAATATAGGAACTGACTTCAATCGGTTTTACAACGGTCCTTTGACTAAAGCAGGCTCGAAATGCAATTGTTCGTCTGTTCCTTGCCTCAACGATAACCAAATAGACGCACTGTTAGAGATCAGTGTCAAGGTTGCTGTAGCAGATGCGGAATCAGTGATCAAGACGTTTTGCTAGCCTTTGCTGTTCTGTTCAAAATGTAATGGTGGACATGGCATGTACTTTGGGACACTCTCTCCGTCCTTGCTGCATGTCGTCGAGCCTGTGAGCCTGC